CCCCTATCCAACCAGCCGCTTCAGATCCAACACTGTCAGTGCACATCTGTCAAACCTGCCATGCCAAATTCTCAACCGCGGCAGGACTAACATGCCACCCAGGATACCATACGCGCTACCCCAAATACCGGCGAATACGAGATGCTCTGGAAACATTTTGTCACCAATGTGCTCGACAATTTTCATCTGCTAGAGCTCTCACCACACACTGTCTAGACCATATCCGGTAGCAAATGCCTAAACTTTATGCTCACGAACGGCTGCAGCTTCTAGTATTGGTCAATCGAGGAGGATGGACAGCTATTACATCACGCCACCTACTTGAGCAACACCGTCCCCTCTTTGAGGCAACTGCTTCGGAAGATACATCTCAGCTTTCCCTTCCGTACAACTGCAGCCCTTAGAAAGCATCTACAATTCTTACGATGAAAGCGATCCATGACAGTTGTGTCTTGGCAACGCCCACACAATGTACCATTATTCAACTCGCCAAATGCCTCCAACCATCTTATTACGGATGCTTCCCCCAGAGGGTCACCGAACCCCAGCCCGCCCTATCATCTATAGGCATATCCTTACCACCTCGAGAAACATATTTGCTAACTCACTAACCTCGACTCGTCTACATTCTTACCTTGTTAGGCATATCCAGTCGCTCACGTCCTCGGCCACGGCCTTGAGATCATCCCTAAACCCTTGCAGTAGCGACGAATCCGATGGTCCATTAACATGGGAATCATTTCAATGTCATCGCCGCAAGCCCCCAGCTCCTCAAACTGGTCCCGGATTGCCACAGCATGGACCCAAGATCACTAAGCGTGCTTCCCCGCTACTGGTCGTATTGCACTCACCCAAACGCATGCGACCTAGTAACCGCGTTTTGCGGAAGCCGGCATTCGCGCGCGAAAAGCAGCTTCAGACAAAGTAAGCAAAGTGCTTGTCCTGTAGAGGGTAGGGAACATGATGTCCCAACGCCTACAAATTGCGAACCCTTGCCAGAGACCGGTAACTTATAACCTCCCTAGGTTCTGGTTGAATACCTCATATAAGCAACTACAGGACGTTTGTGTGCCAATGACGTACAGGTACAACGAAGCCTGCAAAATGCCGTATCGCTGCAGAGCACAACGACAGTGGTAGTCGTTGGCAGTGGTGTACGCGTTGCATCGTCAGAATTAGAAGTGGACCAATCTATTAGAAGCAGCGACGTCGATCGGCTTGCAACGGCAGATGTTATGGAAAAGTAAATGGGTGAGAAGCACGCGACCCAGCGTTTCTTACTGAACAAGTTGCTAGTCGCCCTTCGCAAGACCATGCCTCGGATGCCGAAAGATTACCAAACACTTATGAGAACACCAAGGAATATGCACACCATTAGCATTGGTGCTGGTGCATATGAACACAATGGGCCGCTGCTGGGTATATGCAATATTTACCAGGATGGAGGCATTCAGCCGCCGGGAAGGGTTCTGGTCCAGTTGTACATAGATGCATACACCCTGTCCAGTTCCTCGAAAATGCAGATCTGGCCGATTCAGTTTCGATGTATTTATCCCGTTATGTCAGTACCGTTTTTTGTCGGTGTTTACGGTGGTCCTGAGAAACCGGATGTGAATAAATTTCTGAGTCCGCTGATCTTTGGATATGCAGCTGCTATTGTCCACGGGTTTTAATGTAAATGCATGCCCCAGGCCCATCTTTATCGAATTAGGGCTATTACATGTGACGCGCCTACTCGAGCGTATGTGAAGAGGACGAAGGTACACTCATGGTACAGCAGTTGCAGTAAATGCATTCAGACAGGTAGTTATGTCAACAGGAAGGTTACCACTCGATCTACCACATACATGCTTAGGTATTATAATGCGCTTATGAAATGGAAACGATCCTTAATGTCCCATTTTGAATACATCGGTATTGATATGGTTTCGAAAATTCCCATTAACTACATGTATTGCGTGTGCTTAGGGCTGGTGCGACGTATAATCGGTTTGTGGATAGAGGCACCGGCATGGAAGAAATTAAAATTGCCAAATTATACATTGCATGCTATAGATTCCTTATCGATACCAAATATTAGTGCATGGCCATATGATTTCCTTAGGTGCTGCAGCGGTATATTCATGTTTAAAGGTTAGAAAGCCACGGAATTTAGGCAGATTGTGTTATACACCGCGCCGGCAATTTTGTTAAATGTGCCACCAAGTTATTATTACGACGACTTTTTACACCTTCAGCTAGGAATATACATTTTCTCTCACCCGCTGTTGCATAAGCAATACTGGTCTTGCGTGAAACGGTTGATGCTTAGTTTCATATACGGGTACTACCGCCTGTAAGGGGAAAGACCAGCTGACGTTCAATGTTCACTGTCTTGGCCACATGGAATTGGGCGTGGAGGCGCTTAGAACGCTTGATAATTGCTCGGCGTTTCCATTCGGGTCTTATATTGGCGTCCTGAAGTGAGTAGTGCATAACTCACGAAACCCCGCGGCGTAGGTTGTGAGACGGTGGTTGGAATATGCGAACGTCTCTTTTTCTCAGTGGCCTGAATCTCAGGGGACTCGCCTACAACATCGTGGATAAACACGTCGTAAAGCGTTGCTACTGGCTGGTACAACCTACGCATGCAGCGCACCTGACAACCTTATCATTGTATCTGATTACCAGTACTGCATAGTCAGGTTTAACCATATAGGCGCAGAGGGGGAGATCATTGTTTGTAAACCTTGCACTGGCGTGCATGCGTTGTGCCACCTCCTGATACCCTTTTCCGTTTGCAACATATTTGCCGCCTCAGGCATCAGCAATGACTTGCAATCATTCCGTGTGGGCGATACACTTTGCAAATGTGTGTGTTACTCTGTTAATGACTTCTTAGCTACTGTTCCCCTGTCGCATACCTTTAGAATCCTGGATGGCACGACGTGAAGTACTGTTCACGTTAAGGGTCCCTAAACGTTCAGTTTTACTTTGCTTGACTTGTGGTTATTTCCATGGATCTTCTGACTATTTATTTTAATGCCTATGATGATTGCTAGTTTTGGTCGACTGCATTTTTCCTCTCCGCTTACCTGCTGACTTGGGATTCTTACTCAAACGGTTTGCACTTATACCGTTACACCCCTTAGTACCCATTTATGCATGGCGTCTATCTAAGACTCACATGTATTTACTTCACCTAATGAGCGACATTGTATCCTCATCCGACGGTTTCATTGCAACACTGTTTTAGGCAAGCGTTGGTGATGCGGTACGAAGCATTATTGGAACGGGGTACAAGATCGTAACTGTATTCGGCCGATGGAGGGCTGTTGACAGAGTGAATGCGTCCCTGTGGATAGGAATGGCAAACTACAGGGCGCTGAGTGCACTCATAATGGCAAGGATCTGCGTAGACATGCACTGGGTATACAATGTAAGACCATATGAACAACCTGGAATGGCCTCTAGCAACACGGACGCAGGTAACATGGTCATTATCTTAAACATGCTGACAAGTTTTCACTGGTGATGCGCTCAGCCGGAAGATTTCGGCAGACAGCACGCATAGAAAAGGATACGTGTGTCGTGGGATATGGGTTCACGTACAGACACTATTTATTAATTAAACGTTTCGTTGCCATTACCTTTCTTTCACAATCAATGTTTGTACAAACGGACACGGAGTACTTACGTAAGTCATCTACTTCAGCGTTATGCCCTCATTAACATATTTGTGTCGTTTCTCTAAGTATGTCCACCGTACCCACGGTTACAATCATAAACAGCTCTTGGCTGCCTGCGGACGGTCAAGGGCGTTGCTACTAAACGTCCCCCTTTGGAATACCTAGACGCTGTGAGGGAACTCCGGCCGGCGGACGAGAATTGTACATGCGTCGGCGTGGCTATACTTCGTCGAAGCAGTAAGTTCTGTGCTGCCATAATTTTTCACTGGGTTTCGATCAGGCTGTCATCATAACCAACCCGACCGACCTTTCGGAACTACCCGAAGATACGGATTCAATGACAGACATGGGTACACACTCAGACTTATGTGGGTTGCCACCTCGTTTACATAACATTTCATCACAGCCGTATACTACGTTGTTTGAGTTCGGACGACGATGACTTGGAGCCATCCAGGAAGCGCATGGTCCCCACAGCCGTTTCCTATGGCTCCCAACCTATCGTTTCTTTAACTGAGTTTGCCCCCTCGATAAGTAAAAACCCACATCAGTCGTCTTTCTAGCAATACAACACGGGCGGATACAAACTAGCTTATAAAAGCATGGGGTATATTTTTCTAAATATGAAAGTTCAGTGCTCAATACTGCATCGCACTGTGGTGAAAATTCGAACGCACAGATGCGGAAACTGGATTGAGGTTGGTGCTTACACTTTGTACCTTGAGTATCGTAGTCATAGAGGGAACCACTGACTCGTCCTTCCACACCGTTTTTAAAAGCGCTTGGAATCGCATTCACCGTGGTACGAACAATGCTTCCGAGAACTTCCATCTTGCTAAACTCAAGATGAGATTTTCATCAGTGATTGGCCCTTTGATCCGCGCCACTGGTATCGAAAGTGTAATGAGGGTTGGGACTCGGAAGTTATTACGTTAAGGGCTCGTGTTTGTTGGGAACTAGGTTCAGGAATGTCGAAGTTAGCTTGTGAGGGTTGAGATAAATACCTTATACATGTAGCTTAACATATTACTTGCTCAAATAGTAAAATACATAAGTATGATTGAATTGAACCTGCCTCTTCTTTACTTCATATTTCAGGAACTGACCCCAATGCTGTGCTATTCACGGATCGATGAAGACACCTGATCTCCCCATTTCCTTGGTTGTTTAAATAGTTTTATTACGTAATACGTGATAAACATCGTATTTATCACACTAATTGTCCCCTTTTCTCCCTGTTTAGTGTCATGTTGGTTGAACTAAAAGTTATTTGTGATAGTGTATTGGCACACGATATGCTTGTGCTTCGTATTATTTTCTCTTTTTTAGAACATGGTGAGTTTACGATCAGGCGAGCCAGGGTCAAAGAGGGCAACCACCAGTTCGGGCCAGATTAGTGATCCATTACCACCTGTACCGAGCACATCACGTGCATCAATGATTACATTAGAACACAAAACAAGCGAATCCACGCAGTCTGATCCAACATTTCAGCCTCAATCAGAAGTGTCAGTGAGTGTTCCCAGTTTATCTGCACGGGATATAAGCCACAACGTGTCCGATAATTGTAACTTTGCAATACATATTTACGTTAACTTTATAGGCCTCAACAGTTTAATGAGTATCGTGATTGACAAGGAGGCATACACTTCTATAGTAAAACATTCCCACCCCGATGGCGTGTTTGTGGCGACCACTGCATCGGGCATTGATTCAAGGAGTGCGGAGAGGTTCAGACTTGTCGTACCAAATTATTATCCAACATTGGACCAAAACCTTTTTGCCTTTACCGTTGCAGCACTAACTCTGAAAAAGTTATCCGACGTATGGAATACAGCATACAGAGAATACCACGTTGTCAATGCCACGTATGCAGTTGCAGCGAGTGGTTTGGTAGCTAAAAGGAAGGAGAATGATCACTGGGTACCAGATGGTGACTGGAGATTCTCCGGTGAGAAGGTGGATCCAGAATTGATGAAGAAGACCAAAGACCTGATTACGAAGAATGTGAACCACCTGTTTCTGCTAGTCTCCGTAGTTTTGATGACCGAAGTTAACCTTTGGAACACTAACCACCATGGCTCAACTGGGTCTAACCCATTACCATCCGCTTTCCAAATGGCACAAACGGCAGTGCAAGAAGAGACCAAGTTCTCTATAACGAAGGAAGCTACGCACACATACGGACACTGGACATCAACTTTGAAAGTTTTAGAGAAGTTTGGGAAGCCTGTGAGGGATTCGGGCACCATCGCTAGAACTAAGTTCTTCTCCTAACTGCTGAAAGGTCAGTCGGTGAGAAAACAAAGTTGCCACCTCCCGTTACATTTCCGTGTGCTTACCACTTGCCAACCCGATGCAACTACTCAGTTTACGGCGCTGATTGGAACATTCAGCAAATGAAGCGGACGGTGGCTCTGCAATCCTCACAGGCATGCCCAATTGCTGTTGAGCTGGGCCTCAATTCCCTCGTTTCAATTGTTCATAATGGTTTTCTTTTAGTTAGATTAATTTACCCCACTCCTTAGTGGTTCGCTGGGTTGACGCGACGCATATGAGGTGAGCACATTGAATGGGTCTGAACGACGATATTCCCAGCAATTTTAGCCGTGCCCATATGTTTCTTGATAGTTCGGTTATCATATGAATGGGATCCTATCCGCATCGTTCTAGTATTGTTAAACAGCTGGCTATGGATACTTGGTGACGGACATTTTTGGTGTTTTGCAATGAGATTTGTGGTCTACTGTATGAATGGGTTAACGAACCCTTTCGTGCTATGTACAGATGATCATTGACTGGCATTAATAACGCTAACACAAGGACACATTGGTACTCCACTGCATCAAAGTTACACGACTCCTTTGGTGCTAAGTACGGATGCTCCGTGCCCGAAATTATTGGTACTCTTGCGATAAACGACATATGTGGGATAATGCAAGCACCGGCACAGAATGCACGTACCGCTAATTTTTGAGAATGCGTGACCTATATCACTGCTGCTGGTGCTAAGAGACCTGTGTAAGCTACTGTCTCACCAGTACACTGACCACATTAAGAAACGGGTGACACGGGCGCAGGAAAATACCTGCTTAGGAAGGGCGCTAAATACTGCCGAACTTACCAAGCGGCTTTATCAAACAACACCTACGGAAGCTAGCATGCGGTTAGAAATAAATGTAAGTTACATATCAGGACTGCTCGTCTTCAGTACGAGAACGGTTTGGCTGACGCAGCCGCAACAAATCCAAAGAACATGCCTATTTATGATATCGCTGGAAAGCTGCGCCTTAACTTCTGAATGGAAGGAAGCAGTCAACTGTCCCACTTTTAAGGACGGTGACAGCTCGAGGCACGCGAATCATCGTCCTGTCAGCTTAACAAGCATAGCTGTTAAGTTGCTTGAAATGCTGATCAGGGATTTGGTGGATAAGACTATTTACGCGCTTTTCGTTGACTTGGCGAAAGCCATTGATACCGTTCCACCTCAACGACTCACAATACAGTTGAGATCGTATGGGATATCTGGAGCCTGGCAATTGATTCGATGCCAGTGTCTAGCATTGTGGCACTGTGTATTATCGTTTAGCGTCATTTGCTGAAACTTGTTCATTAAAACTACTTCTCCCACAGTGTACAGCTATTTCACTAGCAACCACCTCTATTAACTTTTCTCCCGTACAGCATCCACAATTTTGTTTTTCTTCCGTGACGATCGGGAAGTGACGGAGCTGACCAACAACCTTCTTTCTGCTCTCTATCATCCAATGTTCCAATGCTCCTTCACCACCGTGATATTTGCTACGACTGCAGAGAGGCGTCCACATAATTAAGGTGACGGAGCTGTCAGTGTATCCGTTCTGCTCTTCACATTCCAATGCATCAAAAGAATGAAACAGTAACTGCTTTTCAGACAGCTGGTGCTACAGCTCCATGGGCCTGCATGAGGTCACTTGTTTACAACGGCATATGATACAAACTTCACAATTGTAGGGCGTCCCAAATTATTTTCCAAGTCATGCAGTGCTTCGTTCTACCGAGCTTTTCCAACAGAGGTGGAGGTTGCAGGCACATATATTAGACTTACCGATAGCTCGATGTATTCGACCCACGACGACAGTTAATTTTCTAACTGTTACTGCAATTAATCCTTTAATTCCTTGAGTGCTAGAGAGCAGACGGAGGTCTGGTGTCATCTCCTTCACTTTATTGTGAACCGGTTTAGGTTCCTATTTCGAGACAGCTGGTATAGCGTCAAGATCTGCGCTATATATTCGGCACGAGACTAGACGGCCAACCAAAGGCGATGACAGAACACACAATTGTAAGCTAGGGGACAAGGTTATTGGACGGGAGGAGCGTTAGCTAATGCTAAAATTAGGACATCGGAAGAGAGCTAGCTAGGGAGAATGTAGTTGGAGTCGACAGCGTAGACGGGGTGTCGTTCGCAGTGCAGTCGCACGCCAAAGGCCGTGATCGTGTTCGTGTTTCCAAGCAACGGGAACAAAATTCCAACGGGCAAACTGCTTACTTGCCTAATACATAAGCGAGCTAGGCTTTGAATATATTTTAGAATAGGTTACACAGTCATACGGGGGAATCTCCAGGTCACTACACTGGTGTATTATTTACATTACTTGCCACTACACTGTTACCTGTCACCCTCTATTACCCTTCTGTGTAGCATAATACGGCCACAGTAATTTCCAGGATATCGATCAGAATCTTCTATTCCATATGAAAAGGATCCTACCGGTTTGCTTCAATGCATGGAAAGTCATTTTGACTGTCAATAAGCTACTTTAAGCTGCCAGAGAAATAGCGGCTTAGTTCTTCGTTTTGCAATGAAGCAACAATGCAGATGCGTAATTTTTAAGCACCAGATAGTAACTCGTCGTCCTTCTCATTTCTCAACGTCACTCTCAAAGTACTTCGTACGGGCGTTTCATTTTGGTGCCAACAGTTACCAATATTAACCGTTGTATTGGTGCATTTGAACGCCGGTTTTCAGGTTAAACTGATAAGAAGTATCAATCTCCACGCAATTCTGAACATGTCCATGCAGCCAATCGCATAGCTTCGCCATCTTGAATCAACACTGCTTGCCGTGCCACCAATCGCCGGCGCTGGGTATCGCGCAACCACTCACTTGGAGTCAGCAGAACTTCACGTATTGCAGAAGGTTCGGGACGGCGGCTTACACCTGCAAGAATAATCGAACTAGCAAGTCTAAAAGGCATTCGCCACTAGTGCCTGCCATTTTTAAACGCTATGCTTTGGCCACGCCCCATCGTAATCGGGCATATGTGGGCTAGATAGGTTAAAATTCCACCCAGCACACTACAGCAAACATTGCTGTAAAATGCTGTAATCGGTTGCGGGTAAGCAACTGAAGAATTGTGAATACAAACTGAGGCATCAATACAAGTCCAAATTAGTTGACATTTGTATCTTTATATTCCATTAGTAAACACATCATGGAACCGCATTCATTTTAAGCAGTTTTAGGTTATAGTGGGCCAACGAAAGTCACTACGCCGTACCGTGCAAACTCCGGTGTGTAAAGTGCACCGTCCATTCTCCTTGCTATCTCAGTGTGCTTATTAATTGCTAAGTAAGCAGTATTTATCTTAACTATATATATGGCACGCAATTATATGAGACACAAACAATGCGTAGTGACGTTAGGGAATTGCGACTTCGCGTTTCTGACAAAAAAGCTGTGTCGTCATCGTCACTTTTCTTTGCGTAATATTACGACACAACGTGGGTCATTGAGATACGCATCGAGAAGCACAGTTATTTATGGAGCCGTAGGCGAAGGTATTTATGCACACTGCATGTGACACCGCCTTGTAGCATGGGTAATAATTATGGGATTGACTTCCGACTTACTGGAATTGGATTCCATTGGTGTCCAATTGGAATCGGAGTTCATGGAAAGTACAAAGTGTGATATTTGTTATCGCAGTCACGTCGTCAATGGAATGGCCGTGGCGTTAATCAAGGGGGACAACGAGCCACAGGCTTCTTTGGGAGATATCATCAGACACTTTAAAACGCTGAGAAGTTGGGTTATGAAATTCCGACCCTCGCATGCCGGAGTGAATGATCTCCTGGCTCATATTGGGAAGTATTCGGGAGATACCAACAGATTGCAGAATGTTGCTGCGGACTCCAAGGGTTCAGCTAACGCATGAGGTAGCAGCTGGGTGTTGTGGTCATTTACACTTTGCCGGTGGCTTGGTTCGCTTGTACAAAAGGCATGGGCCGACATGCTCGCAAGAGATTTGCATTTAGTTGCACATAGACGACTTCTCTCTCTGCAAGTCGTCAAGCAACCAGATTAGGCTCATTTTATGCCGGTCCACGGCAATTTCGTTGCAGACCTCTTTTGTAGTTGGTGTTTACAGTAGCCCAGACAAACCCAATAATGTTCATGGTTTCCTCGCACCACAAATTATGGAGTTAGCAAATGTGTTACGAGATGGCATTTTCTTGCCGAGGAACTAGGAATGCAATGCTGTAACATTGGGATCCGTCGTATGTGATGCACCCGCACGCGCTTTTGTAAAAATGTGTAAACATCATCCGGGTAAGGCGGATGTGACAAATGTGTGCAGCGTGGGCCGTATGGGGCCGGCAAGGCAACCTTTCCGGAACGCGATATCGACTGCGAGACAACAAACCGTTTCGATCTAGCGTGTGGTCAAAATCGTCACCCTTCGAGTCCCTGGAGATGGATATGGTGGCCCAGTTTCCAAATGGTTGCATGCACGCAGTTTGCTTGGGCGTCATGCAACGGGTGATACATTTTTGGTTAGTCCATACCGTCTCATGAAAAGTGCAGTTTACGCGATCGAGGGGAAACTGCGGGGGAACAAGTAATCCTGGACATCCGAGTTCCCACGGCGTTGCCGACGCACAACAATGTTCAGATACTGGAAAGCAGCGGAATATGGACAGCTTTTGCTATACGCAGGCCCTCGTGTGTCGCGCATCGTGTTACAGCCAGATTAGTACAGAAATTTCTTGTATTTGCAGTTTGGCTTAAACCTTTTGTGTCAGCCCAGTGTCCAGATAGCTATTGCGAATTTGCACGACGGCTGCTATCGGTGATTGGGTGGAATTATTTCTCTTTATATGGCGCCGCTGAAATGAGTTATAACGTACAACCTAGTAGCACAATCGTAACAGTAAACCTAGTAAAGTGGACGGCAGTCCAGTTTGGCAATAATGTAGTAGGTGCACTTAAATGCATTTATTTTGACATTTGTTAAAAAATAACCGATTGATATTCATTATAAGTGATATTCTTTGCTCATAACATGTGTGATTGAAATGCGTCGGCTGGTCATGTTATTTGCAAGGTTTCGGTTTTGAAACGTTAGTCGCTGCTGCCGGGGACCGTTTGATTGCACTATGGCGGTTAAATTGAAAGGTCTTGGTGCCTACTGGTACATCCGTTTTACGGCTTAAATAATTTGCCTTCAGTGTGCTATGGATGGCTAGTATAAATTATTATAAACCGTTTAATAGTGTTACGTGAGGTGTGATATATAAACATTTTACTGAGGTAAGGTGAGTAAAATTTGAAAGACTAAAATAGTGGTGAAAAATCAACAGATGCGACTGTGCGGAAAATGCGTTCAACAAATATAGCGTTATTTTGGGTTAGGGAATGCTTTGAAATGTTGCATGTATGGAGACTTAAACTGCCTGTGTATTATAAATGGAATTTACTTTTTACAATGCAGCAGGTAAAAGGTTGAGAAATCCACACGGAATCTTAATTGCACAAATAATCTTCACGGAAGACATTAACTGCAACATTTTAGTGCGCCACATGTATCTGGGGTATTCATAACGAACGGATATACGTACTTAATAAGTGTGAAACTTACGGATGATGCTTTGAAGGTAAGCTGGAGGTAAAAGTAATTTGGTAAAGCTGCAGAAATGCAAAAGGAATAACTGCTGTGACAAAGTCGTCACTGTGCATGGTTGATAAGATACAGTATTAGCGGTTCAAAGTTGATAAGGAATTAAGACTAACAGACATTTTCTATTACTGTATCGGCGTGTATATAAATGCGTAAATGGAAATGAGCATGCACTGAATAACATTTGTTAATGGTGTTAGTGAACGGGAATATTTACAATTGCAACAGCTATTTTCGTAAGTGTAGTTTGTTGCGAAGCGCCAGGCAACTAAGAATCATTTGGAATGTCTTCATTTGCCCAAATACATATGTAAGCTGGATATAAAAAGGCGTAATTTTATGCCTGATTCAGAAATATATATGTGGATATATATATCCGTCTTAATATGCTACGTATGTAGATATGGATGTAGATATATATATATACGTATATTTATATACATATGTATAAATATATAAATATATTTATTTATTTATCGCATATATATACGTATACATTTGCACACCTGTACAAATATATGGATATATTCATACATACATACGTACGTACATTTCATTACGGTACAGGCTATTACATACAAAGAGACACCTGCATATATATATTTCGGAATCAGGCATAAACCTACGCCTATTTAAATCCAGTTTACATACGTATCTGGGCATACAAATACATTCCAACTTATTCTTATTTGCCTGGCGCTTCGCAACCAACTAGACCTACTAGCACAGCCTTTGCACATGTAAATATTCCCGTTCATTAACACCAATAACAAATGCCATTCAGTCTGCAGTAAAAAGGTAGCACATGTGTTATCCCGGGCGTCGGTGTCGTTCTCTCTGATAGCGCGTATTTAATGGTTAGCGCGTTAGGTTCGACGCGTGGGGGATT